AAAACAGTGTTAATACAGTACATCAATACATTCTTCCTCTTCCAAAGGAAAAAACAGCTGTAACTTTCCAATATTCTGTATGATGTCCCCATGCACAAGTCAGGTTTCTTTTTTCTCCTGACCTGCAGACACTCACAGTAAATGAGCAAAGATTTCTGCAAAATAACAACATAGTTTTCAAATTAAGAGCTTGGCCAATTTCCATGGTGCATATTCGACAGCCCTCCTCCAGATCTGCGTAGCCTCAGACAGTCTAGTGTACTAACATCCAGTTTTCCTCCACTGGACACAAATATCTGGACATCGGATAATGTGATTTGCTCTGACCATATGAAATGTGTCACTGTAAATATTTTAAAAACATTTTTTCTCATCTTTCTGGATGCTGGCGTCATTTGGCACAAACAGCAACAAGATTAGCACAGGTCTGGGAGTCAAGTGTTAAAACACCTTATTAAAAATGTAAAAACCCAGGGCTCCTGAAGTTAGAACTGGCACTGCCAGCACTTTTTATTTTATTTTTTACCCAGACAGTCAGGAGATTCTGGGGTGTTCTTGGGATCCTTGTGGATGAAACATTACTTCTAGCTGAGCAGAATCACTTTCTTCACCACAGATAATGAAAGTACAAGGACAGATTTAGCTTGTCATGCTAGTAACACACAGTCTGTGAATCCTTTCTGTTCCTTTTGCTGTACTGAAGGTGTGGCGGCGTATGTGGGCTGGCAGAGCTCCTCCATCCTGAAGCCTCTCCTGCAGCAGGGTCTGAGCGACACCGAGGAGTTTGTCATCTATAAAGCTCTTAATGCACTGACCTGCATGTGTCAGCTGGGCCTGCTGCAGAAACCTCACATCTACGAGTTTGTCAGTGATATCGGTAAGATCAGAGTCGGCTGCGTCCTGAGAGAAGAGCACAGCATGACATGTTTGTTATTTATCTCCTTGGTCTAAGACTCTCATCCCGAGGTAAATATCTTGACAGCTTCTGGTTGACAAGCCCCAGCAGGTAAATCCTGAAGACTAGTGATTGTTCCTTTCCATCTTGTGCCACCAATAGGTCAAAACTGATCCATCACCTGTGCACAGTGTGTTTCCATGCTGTCAGTCATGGTTCTTGCTAATGAGCTGTAATGATCTTGTTGAAGAAATCATCTAATCTGCCAGTTTAGTTAAGCTTGTACAGTTGTTCATGTTCCCCTTGTGCTTGTGGAGCTGCTGTAGAGCAGTGGGCCTATAATGATTGTATGAAACTGAGCGTCTTCACACCAACCTCTAAACTGGATGGTACAGTTTGTCCTTTTCTGATTGCCGTAGCTCCGTTCCTGTGTCACCCCAACCTGTGGATCCGTTATGGGGCGGTGGGTTTCATCACTGTGGTTGCACAGCACCTCAATGTGGCCGATGTCTACTGCAAACTGATGCCTCACCTCAACCCCTTCATCTCCCAGCCCATCATCCAGGTGAGTCCACGCCACCTTCATCTGACAGCCTCCTGCTATCGTCAGCAGATCCTCGCATGTCACCACCATCTCTCACCGTCGCCTCTCCTCAGATCGATAAGGAGCTGGTCCTGCTGAGTGTTCTGAAGGACCCGGTGAATCGCCCCATCTTCGACTACACCCTGCGCTCCAAGGACATCGCCAGCCTCTTCCGACACCTGCTGCTGCGGCAAAAGAAGCGAGCGGGTTCAATCCCAGAATGCCCCACTCCTGAGGACCCAGCCATTGCTCAGCTGCTCAAAAAGCTGATTTCACAGGTCAGAGCAACAATGTTCAGTCTCAGGCCAATTATATGACAGATCATGGATTACTGAGAGGAGATTGTGAGGCAGGGAAAGTCAGGGACTTTATGGGAAATTTGTGGAGCAAGAGCAACTTTTACAAAACGGTCCCTATGCAAGAATACAGCAGAATGCATTTTTCTAACTTGATTCTTGTACAACAACCTGAAACCACATAGCATTTTATAGTTTTGGTCCAATTGAAGTGGAAACCAGATTTAAACCTACATTAAGAAATGTTTTTCTTTAAGATGTATAAAATAACAATAAGGACTAGAAGTGACAAACCCAGGACAAATCACTGCTCTGCACTTCCTCTCAGCTCCACTGAGCATCTGAGCCTCTTTTAGCTTCTAGTTTTGGTTTTCCAGCATGTACTGTGTGATTCGATGTCATGCTACACAACAGAGGTGGATTTTATGCTGAGCAATCTGAACAAATTAGGAAAGAAGGTCATTTTTACACCACTGAAGCTGTGGAAACATCGGCTGCACTGGAACCTTTTGACTCACACCAGGAGTGTTATCATTACCTGGTGTGCTTCTTAGACCGCTTGTCTCCAGAGGCCTCAAAGTGATCAAAACTGTGTCTAAGGCCTGCCATGTGTTTTCCACTTTGAACCAGCTTTTTAGCCTGTTTTTATAGTTTAAACCATCAAACAACACACACCCACATCCACAGTCGCACTCACACAGACACGCATGTGCTCTGAAGCTTGTTGTTTTGATGTCGTGAGTTACCTGAAGTAGCACCATATGGTGGGAGGATGTTGTTTTTGTCTGGTTTGCTGGTGCTGCGCAGATAGCCTCCATGCTGTTGTGGTTAATCCTGTTAGTCTTCCGATAACAGAAAAGAGCAGACCTCAGAGCACAGGAGGGAAAAAAGCATAACAATGCATTAAAATAATATTCTTAATATAATTTGCTGTTAGAAACAAATGCCCCCTCATATTTTGTTTTTTTCTGAGGGTTACAAACTCCTCTGCAGTGTTTGTGTCAGTTACTCAGACTGGATTTCCTGGATTGTATTTCAGCCCCCATGAAACCTAAAACACATTTTGGTTTTTGTACAGACTGAACTGGACTGAAAAATCCATGTCTCTTATATTGGTTTTAATCTCTTTAGAACGTCAGTGCACAGAGCCTAGTAAGTAAAGATTTCAGGATTGATAGCTGACGCTCTGAATCACACCTGCTACTGATTCCATAAAACCACTGCTGAGGCTCATGGGTATTGTAGTCTTCAGAGCCCTCTGCCATTCCATACCGATGAACACAACATTTTCATAAACTAAACTAAAGCAGAGGCTCATATACTGCAGTGTTTAAAGTGTTACCTTTGAACTGTATGAAAACTAATCTGTATTCCAGCAGTCGTCCCCACCTGGGTCCAAACGCCTGCGTTCACTCTGTCTCATTTCCTCTGCTGTTCAGGGGTTGAAGGAGGCGGAGGAGGACAAGCTGCTGGCGCTCAAAGACTTCATGCTGAAATCTAACAAGGCCAAAGCCAACATGGGTGAGCAGAGCCACCTGGGAGAGGCGGCTCAGACCGGCGTCATCGACCTGGCCATGCTTGGCATCACTGGCCGCCAAGTCGACCTAGTCAAACCCAAGGCAGAGGCTGAAGACAAGAGAGGTATTTACACACACTTGTGTCCCAGTGAAACCCTCAGACCTCACCGCTGTCGCTTGTAACGTTTAACTTCTGTGGAGCTGCTCTGTATTTCACATCAAGTAGTACTGATGACAAAGCATCATAGGAATATTTCAAAATATTATAGTGCCAATACAAAAAGATGTGAAAGCAGCAAGATATGGTGTGGTGTGATCACTGCAAGGATACTAAACCTACCAGCTGTTAGGGACGACTAATGTACCATTATTTATTTTGGTTTTGATGAAAGCTCACTACATGTGATCATTTCCTACCGTCCTGCTTGTGATATTTCTAATGCAGCCTTATTCAGTGATACACCTGAACTGCTGCTCTCTGGACAGAGAAGATAGTCATCAGTAACAAATCAGAGGTTTAAGCTGCTTCGTCTGCTCATGAACACATGTAGGGATTATTTAGTGGAGTATAACAGGGCTGGTCACTGGAGTAGAGTAGAGGTCTCTGATTTCAGATGGCACAGCTGTCGTGGTATGAATCTAAATGTACTCCCACTCTGTTGTCGTCCAGTAGGCTGCCACCTTCACCTTGAACTCCCAACAAGTGCAGACTGATGTGCTTCATATTAAAATGTTGTTTGTGTTCACTCTACAGAACCCGTCACTGCAGCATCTGGTATATTGTTTCTTATGATTTAGTCGGAAATGACATGCATGGCTACTGTGAAATTAACTGTCTGTTCAAGGTCCCATGAAAATACAAATATCTTTCTCCACGTTGTTACGTCATGGTCCGATGTCATATAGAATGTCGGCTTCCTGTGAACAAATGCATTTTCATATATTTGTAAAACAATATCCTGCCTTTATTTCCCTTTCATCCTTATCCTACACTGGTTCATAAAAGTCCAGTCAGCTGTGGCTGATGCTGGGTCAGCCGGTGACCCGCTCCCATCACCTCCAACCTGCCGGTCTTTGTCTTGAAGCTAACAGCATGCGGCTCAGTGATCTCCGAGCTGTTTCATGGGACCTTTAATGTGTAACACATCCCTTGAATTAAAACCTCAGCCTCTAATCTGTTTTTGTATCAGTGTTAACAGCTGCATCCTCTTGGTGTGGAGCTGTCTGATTGATGTGACTTGATGTGACATTAAAATGCACCCAGCTAAGATTTAACTGTTTCTTTTTTGCAAGCTTTTCTTTCCCTGTTTCTGCTCTGTAACTGCTTTTGCTTTATTTTAATCCTTTAATTATCTTGCTTTTTCCTCTCTCCTTAAATATTCTTTTACTTTTTTCTCTTTTTCACTATTTCTACATTCAGTTCTGTCTCTTTTTTATCCTCTTTCAGTGTCACTGTTTAGGCAGAGGTAAAAAAGATAATGCCAATAACATACTGATGATTTAGCTATTCTTAAAGGATAAGGGCAGTGATTTTCTATCCATTAATTAATTTATTTATTTTTGTTGTTGTGCACAAACCCCATCCAGAGACCAGCAGCACCAGTGAATATGGTGTCCTCACCGTAATGTGTGAGAGTCCAGACCCTGGTTCAGCTTATTGGTCTGTGGCTCCACCTTTGTCCATCAACATTTAACACACCCCAGTGAGCCACACCGCTGCATTGGGTGACATGTTTGCCCTCTCATCATGTCCAGTTTCCTGAAGCTATGATGTGAACTACAGGTGCCCGGATAGAACAAACTGTACAAAATACAGCTGAGAGACAGCACATCCTTTCCCACTGTCACTGGGGTTATCCGACAGTGGGGAAACTCTCAGTTAATGCATGTTCAAAGTTGAGACAGTGCTCTTGTGCACAACATTGGGTTAACTCTATTATCTCCAGTCAATTCTGTATCAATCTCAGATAATGCCTGTACTGACCCTTTGAATTCCAGCTTTGTTTCCACTGCCCAACCAAAACTAACTCTGTCTGTTCCAGATGTTTTCTGTTAGTTATAGAAGTAATTATTGCTCTCAGCAGCCAAACCTCGTGAATGAAAAAGAGCCTTGAGGAAGCTCATTTCTCTGTTCTCCCACATTAATCACATTCCCTGTCCTGAATGAGAGCACAGACCAGATTCACTGCACACTGCAAAAAAGTGTTCTGACTGGAGTCTGTGGAGTCCTGAAATTGGCTTTTTGTTAAACAAAATGCACAATACTGAGGTGAACTTTTTTTTATTGTTCTGACGTGTGCAGATGTCAATCCAAGTTAATTATTTCACTGTATTTCAAATAAAACATTCATGATTCTGAGTTTGTTTTAGTTGGAAATAAGCGATTAAATCTCAAACTCAACAGTTTCTGTCTTTAAGATCCAGTGCTTAATTCCAGTTAAGCATTTTTTTGTAGTTTGATTATAACCAGCTGTGGAGAGAGCATGTGGTAGTGTCATGTTTTTAAGAAGCACTGTGCCATTTATAGAGTTTACTGATCAAAGTCCTGTTGTGTGTTTTTCCTGCAGCGAGGAAGCACACGAAGCAGGACTCGACCATGAATGAGGAGTGGAAGAGCATGTTTGGATCTCAGGACCCGCCCTCCACTCAGCCCACCACGGTAACGCTGACCCTCTAATACTGTGTGTGCAGGTGTGACTGAGGTTCACGTTAATCGGATGTGTGTAGAGCTGGTCCTGTATAAACAGAGGCCAACTCACACCAGCGCTGTTTCCCTAAACAGGTTTTTACCTTAAATGCGTTAATGGGTTTTCTTGAGGACATGTTCAGAGTCAGGCTGACTGGGGCTGCCTCCAGATGTACAGCTGCTGATCTCAATTGTGAAAAAGTTTTCAAATGCTTGTTGTGTTGTGAGGAGTTTTCAGTACCATTTAGGACGACATCTAGTCAGAACGTTTTTGTTAATACGGCCCCTGATCTGTTTGCAGACTACTGACGGGCCAACGAGTCAGATCAGGAAGAGCACTGTGACCCCGGCCGTGCCCGTGTTGCAGTCAGTGGCGAGCGGCCCCACCTACCAGCGCCGCATCAACACCTGCAAGACGGAGCTGCAGCAGCTGGTGCAGCAGAAGAGGGAGCAGTGCAGTGCCGAGCGTATGGCCAAACAGATGATGGAGAGTGCCGAGTGGGAGAGTCGACCTCCTCCACCTGGTAACCTGGACACACATAACATAGAGACTACAAAGACGGCATATTCACATGAAAGCCGAACTGTTCAGTGTGTACCTTCCACTTTAGTTTAACAAGACCCACAGTTTACACTGTGGTCTCTGCGTTTCTGTTTGTGTACAGGCCAAATGTGTTCATTGTTGGTAAGTCTCAACTTCAGACAGAGCCAGGCTAGCTGTTTCCCTCTGCTTCCAGTCTTTATGCTATACTAAGCTAACCACGCCCTGTCTCCAGCTCCATACTTTACAGCATCTCACTCTCAGGAGGAAAGGGAATTAGGTTGTTTCCCAAAATATTAACCTCTTTATTTAAGAAAGGTTTGAGCAGTTCAGTGGTGCAACACCTGCTGTTACCATGTTCAGGAGTGGAACATGTTTCAAAGGTTTAACCCAGGGAGCAGAGCAGAAGCAGAACAGATTCACATTAATGCACCTCCTCACCGAGCTGTAAACATGTTTTTCAGGGTGGCACCCCAAGGGGCTGCTGGTCGCTCACCTCCACGAACACAAAGCTGCTGTGAACCGAATCAGAGTCTCAGATGAGCACTCCATCTTTGCCACAGCGTCCAACGATGGCACCGTCAAGGTCTGGGACAGTCAGAAGATGGAGGGCAAGACCACGACCACCAGGTGGGTCCTCAAAACTACAAATGAGACCAGAGCCAGGATAATTAGCTTTAGTCTTAGTGAAAGTTAGTGAATGTCGATGACATCGGTCCAGAGTTTTTCCACTGTCCTCTCACGTTTGGAGTCTAGCTTCAGACCGGAGCTGCAAACACACTGCAGCAGTAACTAATTCATGTACAATTGGATAACAGCTCTGTTGTGTCTGCTCTCTGTCCCTGCAGATCGGTGTTGACCTACTCTCGTATCGGTGGTCATGTGAAGACGCTGACCTTCTGTCAGGGGTCACATTACCTAGCTGTGGCCTCAGACAATGGAGCCATCCAGCTGCTGGCAGTTGAAGCCAGTAAACCACCTAAATCCCCCAAAGTTCAGCCCTTCCAGAGCAGGTAACCACAGCCCCTTAACAACTCATTACTCTTCTAAATAGCAAAGGTTAGAGGTTGTGAGCACAGGTAAAGCTGTTTTTACCGAGAGCCGACACGTCTCACCCGTCTCGTGTGTCAGGTCTCTGGACCTGCAGGACGATGGCTGTGCGGTCGACATCCACCATTTTAACTCGGGCGCTCACTCGGTGCTGGCATATGCCACCGTCAATGGCTCTCTGGTCGGCTGGGACCTTCGCTCCAACTCCAACGCCTGGACACTCCGCCACGACCTCCGCCTCGGACTCATCACCTCCTTCACCGTCGACATGCACCAGTGCTGGCTCTGTCTAGGTCTGTGAGATAGATTTGATTAGGTTAGATTAGAGGGAGAGATAATAGTTAATAGCCACCCTGGTGTTTCCTCCACAGGTACGAGCAGCGGCACCATGGCTTGCTGGGATATGAGGTTCCAGCTCCCCATCTCAAACCACTCCCACCCCACTCGAGCACGAATCAGACGGCTGCTCATGCATCCACTCTACCAGTCATCTGTCATCACAGGTCAGAAGATGAAGGCTGAATAATGTGTCTTCGGATTTCTTCATTACATTTAAACTATTTTGCATTAGCTTGAAAGCACAATAAAGATGTGAAGACACACAGTGAAGGCACCACAGCTGCCAAGTCAAGTGTCAGCGAGTCTCAGACAGAGGCCAGACTAAAACTGAGCAGGTTCAGATGTATGTGTGTGTGTGTGTTCAGGCCTTAGAAGTAAACTTGTGGACAGGCAGTAACATCAGATCAATCTAATAACACATCATTGTTTGTGTGTGTGTAGCTGTCCAGGGGAATAATGAAGTGTCGATCTGGGACATGGAGACTGGTGACCGTAAATTAACCCTGTGGGCGAGCACTGCGCCTCCTCTTTCCGAGATGGAGGTAGGTGTTCTCTATGTGTGGTTGAAGGCAACTCCGTGCACAGTATGTTTAAGTACAGTCTGAGATATACTGCTCACCTGAGAGTTTATACTTTCACCATCCTACATTTCAGAATGAACTGTACTACTTACTAAGTACTTTGTGGTTTAAGATGATCACAAAAAGCATGATGAGCTTTTATAGTGTGACACTATTATAGATTCAACCACAATACACGAAGTAGTTCATATTAATTGCTTTGACAAAGTGCAAAATTCAGATGCTGCTTACGCTTCTGTTTTAAACCTACTGAAGTTACATTTCTTTATGAAACACTGTTGTTGTCGGCCACACACTGAAGTGCAGAAAATACAGTTTTCATGATTTAAACTACATGAACCCCAGCAGCAGAATTACACATTTACACCTCTTTTTTAGTGGAGAGAGTTTGTGTCTTTACAGAGTGTAGCTCTGCGCAGCTGTTTGTGTTTTGAGTTGAAGTAATGTGATACCTGATACTACATGGCGCACTCCTGCAGGTCTTTTCTTTCCAGCTTTACTTTATCACTAAGTACCACAGTACGCACGAGGCTGTGTGCAGCCTGTCAGTGTAAATTCCTCTGACTGAGGGAGAAAAGCAATAAAAATGATGAATGTCTGAAGGAGGGAGGTTTGTCCTCTCAGAAAGCAGCTTCTGTGATCCCCTCTAGCTTAAGAATACTGAAAGTGTATGTGATCCTGCAGTGTGTGTTTTTGCAGCCGTCTCCTCACAGTGTTCATGGGATCTACTGCAGTCCTGCGGATGGGAACCCCCTGCTGCTGACAGCCGGCTCCGACATGAGGATCAGGTCTGCAGCACACAACAACAGAAACCCTCCACAAGCCTCAGTGCAACAGCAACATTGAATCCAGTCAGCAACTGCCATTAAACTGACAGGAAACACATATTTTAAAAGATAGAACTAATGGCTGAGTTTTGTTGTTTTCAGGTTCTGGGACCTGGCGTATTCAGACAGATCATACATCGTAGCAGGAGGAGCAAATGACTTCCTGCACTGCCCATCTGTGCTCTACAGCAGGAAGATCATTGAAGGAACAGAAGTCATACAGGTGCACACACAGCATCAGCAGCTGGAACGAACACCGCAGCCTCTCAGGCACATTAGCAGGACGTCAGACTCTCAGTCGAGTTCTGACTTTGGCAACTGGCAATTTTGTCCATTTAAAATTAAGTCTTACAAATCGGTCTACAGCACTAACAGAAGGGTCTAAAAAGTTTCTGAAGCCGCTGTAATTCATGTTCCTAACTGAACAGAAACGTCTAAATAAACCTCATCAGACTTGGAGGAAACGTACTTGGATATTCATGTAGTATCATAAACAAGCTATAAG